CGGGCTGCCCTCGGCTCTGCCTCCACTCGGGCCAACCAGGCGGAGGAACCGGCGCTGGGCACCCGCCACGGTGTAAGGAACTGAGACGCCGCGCTGCTGGGAGCGCCGAACAGTTGGGCTGAGACGGGAACTCGAAAGGGAAGAGAGAGGCGGGCCAGGGACAGCCACCATGTCCTTCCCGCACTTTGGACACCCGTACAGCGGCGCTTCCCAGGTAAGAGGCGCCTCTATGGGGGACAGGGGACAGATTGGGTGGAGAGAGTGCCTAGTGCCCGGCGCCTGTCTCTGATCTTCCTCCTCTTGTGTCCTGCGGGAAGCCCGAAGGAGCAAGGACCAGGGTAATGTGTCACAGCCTCCTCTGACATCCCCAATCCCTAAATGAGAACGTTTCACCCCGGAGTGCACCCTGGAAAATCTTGTGACCTGAAACACGGACACTCTGACCATGCGCTCAGTGAGGTGGGTGGGATCACAGGGATCTCCCAGTCAGGCCTCCTCCTATACAGAAGTCTCAGGTGGCCGGGAGTGTCTTAAAGAGAAAGAAAAAGAGAGAGAGAGAGAGAGAGAGAGAAAAGAAGGAAGGAAGGAAAGAAGGAAGGAAGGAAAGAAGGAAGGAAGGAAGGAAGGAAGGAAGGAAGGAAAGAAACAAGGAAGGACTTGTAGGCTACGACGCTGTCCATCTCGCCATATTGTTGTTCATTTGTTGACCTGGACTCTTCTCCTACCCCTTCCTTGGGCGGGCCTAAGCTCTCCCGCTCCCTCGATTTTCCAAACCAAAGTGGATGTTGTGCATTGACAAGGGTTTCCTGGAAAAGTTCTGCGGACACCCCCTCCACTGTTCTGCAGCTTTTCTCTAGAGTTCTGAGTGTATTTTCCTGTTGTCTAGTGCCGGCTCGACCTTTGACCTGCTGTGTGATCTTAGACAAGTCTCACACTCTCTCTGATCCTCCACTCCCAATCTATAAAATGGGGAGCAGGAATGAGACGTTAATAATGGTCTCTAAGGCCACCTTCTAGCTCTGCCTATGTAGGATCCTGTGAGGAGGGTAGGGAAGGGGCCTGAGGGTTTGGTGTCTTTAATTCCAGTTTCAGAATATTCACATTTTCCCGGCCTCCTGGGGCTCTGGGGCCTTAGCAATGGCATAGGCGCATCTATAAGGGTATTTTGGTTAAAATGCCTTTTATAATTCCCGTCCCAGCACCTAACAGAATGCTCAGCCCGGGTGGCATTTAGTTAATGCATAATGAAGGAATGAATGAAGGAGCAATCTGATTTCACCCTCTTTGCTTCTAGCTCCCGCCAGCCGGAGGCAGGGGTCTCTGACCTCCAGTGCCCTCTTTCTTGCCCCTGTAGTTTCTGGTGTCGGCAAGTTCCAGCACCACATGCTGCGAATCTACCCCACGCTCAGTCTCAGATGTAGCATCAGGCTCCACCCCAGCACCCGCTCTCTGCTGTGCACCCTACGATAGTCGACTGCTGGGCAGTGCACGACCAGAGCTGGGCACCACCTTGGGCATCTATGGAGCCCCCTACACGGCCGCTGCAGCTGCCCAGAGCTACCCTGGCTACCTGCCCTATAGCCCGGAGCCCCCCGCACTGTATGGGGCACTGGTGAGTACAGGGGTGGAGTCCCCGGGGCGTGAGCAGTAGAGACAGGTGAAATCCAGAGAAAGTCAAGGAAAGACCCACACCTCCTGAGGAAAGGAAATGGTTAGGACTGTGTATAAGGAGGACAAAAAAATACAGTACATTACAGTTTGCAGAACTTGAACTTCATACTGTTTAGAAAACACTTATACTTCTATTAATTCTGTGAGGTAGGCAAGTAATCATTAATCTCAATTTATGAATGAGGAAATAGAGGTGCACAGGGGTTCAAATACTTTACCCAATGTCACAGGGATACAAAGGGTCAGAGAAAAGCTCCTGAAGAAGAGTAAAGCAGGCAATGCCCCAGCTGGTGTGTGTTGTGTGTGGAGAGGAGGGGGAGGGGTAAGTGATACAGTAATAACAGCAGCTAATATTTAACTACTGCTTATTCTGCACCAGGGATTCTGCCAAGCATTCTGCTAGCATGGTCTTCTTCAATAACCTATCAGTACTATTATCCCCATTTTACCAAGGAAGAAGTTGAGGCACAGAGTGGTTAAGCAACTGTGCCCAAGATCACACGACCAGTACCAGTGGCCATACTGGGATTTGAATCAGACCCTTAGCTACTACCCCATGTGCCCCCTCCCGAACTGTAGTCCTGAATTCTCTTTTCCTCTCCCTCCAGAATCCACAGTATGAATTTAAGGAGGCTGCAGGGAGTTTTACACCCAGCCTGGCACAACCAGGAGCCTATTATCCCTATGAGCGGACTCTGGGGCAGTACCAATATGAACGGTAAGGAGTGAAGGGCCTTGGTGACTGGCACTGGGAGGCTTTCCTCCCCTACTGCCAAGGTAGGGTGGATGGGGGCAGGGGAGAAGGAGGGAGCTGAACCACACTTCCAGGCCACAGACTGCCCTCTGCCTGCAGTTCCTTGTTCCCCTTCTAGAATGTGAGCCAGGTTCTCCCCCACAGGTATGGCGCAGTGGAATTGAGTGGTGCTGGTCGCCGAAAGAATGCCACCCGGGAGACCACCAGCACACTCAAGGCCTGGCTTAATGAGCACCGCAAAAACCCCTACCCCACTAAGGGTGAGAAGATCATGCTGGCCATCATCACCAAGATGACCCTCACCCAGGTGTCCACCTGGTTTGCCAACGCACGCCGGCGCCTCAAGAAAGAGAACAAAATGACGTGGGCACCCAAGAACAAAGGTGGGGAGGAGAGGAAGGCAGAGGGAGGAGAGGAGGACTCGCTAGGCTGCCTAAACGCTGACACCAAAGGTACTGAAAACATTCACCACTCCACCTTAAGGATTTTACAAGCCCTCAAGCAGTTTGGTCTTTCAAAAGCTGCCCTGTAGGGTAGATTTTCTGGAAGGTCCTCAGACTTACCCTTGCACCTCCCTGCGTGTCTCAGAGCATTAGCCTGTGCACTGCTTTCTACCTGTAAATCTCTACACAACCGGCTTCTTCTTGACATCAAAATGTTACCTCCTAAAGTTCTTCCTGACTCATCCAAGCCAAAATAGCTTCCCAGTTATTTTCTGTTCTGCCAGCCTGTTTGGATTTCCTTTGCCATACTTGTCACTGTGAGAAAGTTTACATAGCCAACTACCCTCTCTAGAATGCCAGCTCCAGCAGAAGCCTCACTCACTGCCCTATGCCCTACACACCTAATACCTAAATGATGGCCGCCAGATAGTTGGCGCTCAGTAAATATTTGCTGAATTAAATGATATAACAGCAGTCACTTGTAAATATTGAAATGGAGGAAAAACTGCCCCCTGGTTTTTCACAATTGAGAAACTGAGATCCAGAACTCAGGCAGCACCATGTGGCATTTCCTTGGCTTGGCACGGCTCGCGAGAGGAGGAGTGCGCTAAAGGGTAGGGGCAGGGCTGGGGCAGGAATTCTTTCCCAGGGACAGGCGGCCAACAACCCTGGGGCAAATGCAAGGGGTGGTACGGCAGGTCTGGTGAATGACACCGCGGATGCCCTGAATGCAGGGCGCTTCTTGCTAAAAGCTTCTCAGGGATGGGCATTCCTCCGATTTCCCTTGGGCCCTGGGGCTTTTCTCACTCGGTCTTGATTTCCTGCAGAAGTTACTGCTAGCCAGGAGGCCCGGGGGCTCCGGCTGAGTGACCTAGAAGACCTGGAGGAAGAGGAGGAGGAGGAGGAGGAAGCTGAAGACGAGGAGGTAGTGGCCACAGCTGCAGACAGGCTGACGGAGTTCCGAAAGGGCGCGCAGTCGCTGCCTGGGCCCTGCGCTGCAGCTCGAGAGGGCCGATTGGAGCGCAGGGAGTGCGGCCTGGCCGCGCCCCGCTTCTGCTTCAGTGAGCCTTCCGGATCGGAAGAAGCTGACTTCCTCGCGGCGGAGACAGGCGGCCCTAGGTTGACCATGCACTACCCATGCGTGGAGAAACCGCGCATCTGGTCTCTGGCTCACACCGCGGCAGCCAGCGCTGTCGAAGGTGCACCCCCAACCCGGCCTAGGCCACGAAGTCCTGAGTGCCATATGATTCCCGGACAGCCTCCTGCCTCTGCCCGGCGACTCTCAGTCCCCAGAGACTCCGCGTGCGACGAGTCTTCCTGCATAGCCAAAGCCTTTGGAAACCCCAGGTTTGCCCTGCAGGGACTACCGCTGAACTGTGCGCCGTGCCCGCGGAGGAGCGAGCCTGTAGTGCAGTGCCAGTACCCGTCTGGAGCAGAAGGTAGTGGGCCCCCAACGGCGCTGGGAGTATCTATGCAAAAGACACCCACCCACCGCCCTGCCCGGCAATTGCACACCCTCTGCCATTCCCGTCTGCCCAGGTCTGCCACAGACCTGACGGGAGATTGCTTCACAGCACTCTTTCAGACGGAAGCGTAGAGATAAGTTCTAGTACTCCCTTACTTTAAAGCCAAATAATAATAAGCTCACAAGGAGACTGTAATTTACCTAGAATCACTTAGAAATCCGTTCGAGAGATGGACAACCAGGATCTCTGCATTCGTGGTCCAGTGTACTGCCAAATTCAGCAGGTGTGCATCACCATGCCCCTCTAGCACAATCGCCCTTGTCCCCTGCCTGCCCTTCAGAGGAGACTGGCTGGTCCCCTGCTGTGCTGCTCAGAGAGTTTACTAGGGTTGGGCAAGCACCAGGGCTTTTGGAGAAGTCTAAGATTGTGGGCCAGACGCACACCATAGATTTAACCTCAGTGCTTAAGTCCAACTTGCAGCTCTCTCTGTGTCCCACCAAAACCCCTGGGAAGTTGCCCCTGCGGTCAACAGCTTCAGGCCCTAGATTGGTGTTGTCCCTGGAGAGCACTCTACCAAGGGCTCATCCCCAGGCAGGCCAGTGACTGCCTATCAGTGTCCCCTTATGCTGGCTGGTTTTTTCACTGGGTTAAGCACCTGGTGGAAGGGAATTTCACCCCACAAAGGGACATTCCCCAAGCATGAGACAGCCTCCAGCAATTACTGTCAGATTCCGCTCTTTGTAGTAATTTCTCTCAGGATTAGCTGCTGGCTTAGAAAAGTGGGTTACACTGTTATTTGAATTTACACAACGGATCCAAACATTACCTCTGGCAAGCTAATTGCCTCTAGACCCTTTGCTTGCCTTCAGAAGAGACATGGCTGACCCAGAGGTTTCCTAAGAATTGCCACTAAGCGGCCTTTGGGTTTTAATCAACCTTTCCTCTCTCAGCAGGTTAGCGCAACGGCTGCGATTTGCGAAAGAATCTTGGAAATGGGCCCCACGTTTCGAATTCATCTCCAGGTTAAGAAGCTGCCAGACCTTGCCAGGGACCAGGAGCTCTCATTTTGCCTAAGAGACAGACACACAGAAACCCTCCTAGCAGCTGTCCTTGCACGCAGAGCTGGGTCGGTGGGCAGAATTGTACCTTAGCCGACCCCACGGAGGAGATGGCAGGGCACCTTGGGGAAGGCCGAGTGGGAGGCTGGGCGAGTCTGCCCCACCCAACGACTCTACCAAGTCTCTTCCTCCTCTGGATTCAACAAGGCTTCCTCTCCTGCTCACCCCTGTCTCTCACCTCCACCACGCCCCCTCACTTTGTAACTTCATCGCAGACCCGGCTACTAAGGACCCTGTGCGTCTTCTCCCCCTCCCAACCCCTTGTGTCCTTAAAAAATAATCAGTCCAAACCCATGCTGTGTGGCCTATCTTTGCCAGGGGTGCTTGGAGAGATCGGGGTGCAGGCAAACATGCATTGCGGCCAGGGGTTCTTGCGACAGCGCGGCGTGGGCTGCATACCTCAGTTCCTTTAGTAGCTGGGAAAGAAACTGACAAGGTAACCGATAAGGTCTTGGCGACTGCAGCTCAGCGGACTAACCGCTGCGTGACCAATCCGTGGAGCCAAGCTGACCACCTCGCGGGTCATGCGCATAGGAAGTGGTGGGACTTGTCAGGATGTTTATCTGGAAACTGCATCTGTTTCCGGGTTCGTCCTTGGGTTGTAAGTTTGCTGGGGGGAGGGGCGATGAGGACCGCGCTCCTCCGATCGAACTGAGCCTAATGGCGAGGTCAGGCAGCTTTCAGGGTCGGTGTGAGGCGAGAGGGGGCATTCTTCCCGTTTTATCAAAAGTGTCAGCAAACACTTCCGGTACAGGCCAACCAATGGGAACTGACGGGCAGGGAAGGGGTCTTTGTCCCCCTTGCTAGGAGTGTCGAGCGGCGGGGTTGGGGGTAAGAGATGTAAAGACGCCCGCGCAATGCTGACTCTGGGAGGCTGCCTGCGTTCGCGTCCCGGGTCTAGTGGCTTTGGCTTTAGCCAGGGAATGAGCGCACCGCTGCTAGCAGGGAGGCAGGGACCCGGGACAGTGCCCTAGAGGGGAGCTCCGAAGAGCAGATGGGGCGGGAAGGCAGGAGGAAAGGCAGTGGGGTGTGCGCCCAAGGCCTGGATCCCTGGGGAGCTGAGTCTCCAGCGCCGAGTCCGGCCAGGCCAAGCCTTCCAGACCAGCGCGGATGCCACGTTATAAGTCACTGAAATCCAGGCGAGCAGAGTCCTTCTCCTGGGCAGGAGAATTGAAGACCTTTGGAGGACGATGAGGGGAAATGTGGAGGTTGGAAATGCTAGGGAAGTCGAAGCAGTGCGCCAACTCCTAGCCCTTCTTCTCTATGGAAGAGACCGCTTTGCTGTCGGAAGGGACTTTAGAGATCATGAGTTACAAAAACTGCAACCCTCCTCATCAGATGAGAAGGTTAAGCCCAAACGGGAGAGCGGGTGACCAGCTCAGGGTCACAGCGGTCCGTGGTGGAGACCAACTCCAGCTTTCCGCCCGGGTCAAAGTCCCTTTTCGGTTCTCGCTCGCCCGCCGAAACACCCGCCCGCGCTTCCTATGGGAGACCCCTCTTTGCTTTCGTTTTGTTCCTGGGCAACAGCTGCTCCCACCCCCAACCTCCCCAGGGACCTTCAGTCGCCCTCGCTGACCCGCGGCTTAGGGTCCGGAAAATTAAACTGCGAAAAGATAAACATTATTTCCAGTCGGCTTTGCGGGATTAAAGCTTGTAATAAAGAGCATTAGCTGGAGGTTTCTTTCAAGGCACTCTCGACCCCACCCCCTACTGGGGGGCCAGGTAGACCCCTCCGGAGACTGCAGAGGCGGCAGAGGCGTCCTAGGGCTTCCAGTTGAGAGTAGGGCCCTAGAGAGCCATTTCGTGGAGGGGAGAGTGATCCTTAGAATCAGAGAGTCAACACTTGGAGATGGGAAGCTGAAGACCAGATTGGAGAAGGGACCCCACTAAACTCAGTTCATGTGGCTGAGCAGGGTCTAGGACCCAGAGGGTCGGGGTTAGGGGGAATCTCACCCGCACACCGCCTCCAGCAGTTCAGCTTCAATCTTGGGAAAGGAGGCCTTCCCGAGTTGCCCTACTTCACCACCCAGGGCCCCAGGAGGTTGTCTCTCCAGCTGCAAGAAACATCTCTTGCCTAGGTGGCCTAGCCTCTCCCTGCCTTCCCCAGCCCAAAGCAGGAGCCTGCAGCCTAAGCTTATCTCAAAGATCTGGTCCTAGTTGGCTGGAGACAGTGGGGTGTGAGAGGGACTGAAGGGCAGTCTGGGATCCCAGAAACCTGCTTTACCTTCTCAATTGTGTTACCGCCTTGTTTTGTGGCTTGGACAAGCCCCTTCCCCTCCACGTTGTGCCACTGTAAAATACAGGGATGATCTAGTTCTCCATCCTGCTGCTCAGTGTCTCCTCTAGAGCTGATGGTGAGCTCCCGGGGTCCAGGAGAAGGGCCTGAGAATGGCACGTCTGAGCCTGTGATTATCCCAGCCTCAAGCCCCCAGTGGCAATCTGTTACCACCATCTCTGCCCCCCTGAGAGCCTCCTGCAAATCTCCCAATATAATCTCCCAGAATCATATTTTGAATACTGTCTTGATTAAACGCCAGAGCAAGGGGAGGGAGGCTGCAGCCCTGCTCTCTTCGGCTGAGACTGCTGGTGCCCACAGACAGCTGGACTGTGACCTCTGCAAAGTAAATGTTGGTAAATGCAGAAAGTTGAGGTTCTCAGGTTTGTAGGATGTATACAAACTGGACCTCCAAACTCCTTCTATGGCTAAAGTGGCCCTTCCCTCAGCTGGGCAGCAACCAGAGGCTAGGCTCTCTGGAAAAGACGAGAAGCCACCCAAGGGAGCCCCCCAACCCCCAGCACACCCAGTGCCTGACTTTATTTATTTATTTCCTGCTAGTGTCGCTAGATGGACATTGGATTCACTAGATGATCTCTGTGGTCACTTCTAGTTTTAAGATTCTATGATCCTGTTAATGATAATAAGAACTTCTAGAGCCTTTACCATGTGCCAGACTCAATGTCATGTGTCTTAGTCTGTTTGGACTGCTATTTTACAGAGTACCATAAACTGGGTGACTCATAAAAAAAACAGAAAAGTGTTGCTTACATTTCTGGAGGCTGAGAAGTCCAAGGTGCCAGCAGGTTCCGCATCTGGTGAGGGTCTGCTTCCTGGGTCATAGATAGCACCGTACTGCATCATCACGTCATGGAAGGGGCAAGAGAACCCTCTGAAGTCTCTTTTATAAGGTCACTAATCCCATTCGGGAAGGCTTCAAGTTCATGACCTAATTATCTCCCAAAGTCCTCAGCTCCAGATACCATCACACTGCAGATTAGATTTCAACATATACACTTTGGGAGGACACACACATTTAGTCTCTTGCACCAGGTCTTTTAAATGTGCTGACTCATATGTTACAATAGTCAGAAGATATACTATATCACACCTAACAGTATGCCCCACTAATGAATGAGGAAACAGGCTCAGAGAGGTTAAATAACTCAATGTCAGTTATCCAGCTACCAAGTAAAAAGGCAGACTCTATGCAAGACTGATTCTTTAACCACAAAGTTCTACTACAAATGCACTCTATTATTTTAAGATTTCTTTATTTAATTATTAAGCAGACCATCTATTTCTGAGACTCTAAATGTCTAGAGTCTATTATTTCATTCTCTGGACTCCTAGGTTGCCCTCCTTCCCTCTCCAAAATGTCCAATGGGAAAAAACTTGTGGTACCTCTTGAATCCACCCCTGCATCCTGACCAAGAACATCTCTACCTATCCCATTGCCCATATTTCCCGGGGACACACTCTCTGAGACACCCCTGGTCAGTGTTTGGCCAAATGTAGCCCATGGATTCTACTATCAAAATCAGCTAAAGATTAAAGAATCACACTAGGATGTGGGCTGAGAGGTCTGTCTTGTTAACAAGCACCCAGGTGGCCTGATGGGCCTCTGATCTGCATAGTGGCGGATGAACCTTGAGTAGCCAGACTCTAAGCTCAACAGGAGGGCCTTGGACACCTGCTGTTGGCCAAGAGTAAATCACATCCCAGTAACAGGTGCAAGCATTTCCTCCAGGATTTAATCTGGATTCCCATTCAATCTCCTCATCTAGTTCAGCTCTTTTTTACCCCACCCAGAAGCTCAAAGATGTGTTCTTATTGGAGGGCGACTAGGAGAACTAGGAGGCTAACTTGCATGTACCAGCTGTCTGAAGATGATTGAGGAATCCAGGTTTTGAAGCACCTGAGTAGTAGCCTGTACCATGGTGTACAAGAGAATTCTGTCCAAAAACATGAGCATGGAGTCAAGAATCTGTACACATTTGGAGGAAGCCAGCAGGAAAGAAAGACTACCTTAAGTGAAAGAAAGAACTGATAAGAGCTTGGCTTCTCCGCTGTGGCTGTCTCCTGGCACAGCCACTTGCAACCTTGGTATTAGAAAGTTCTTTCTTTTTTGAACCGAATTCCTTCTCCAAGTAACTTTTGAAAGTTGCCTCCTAAACTAAAAAGTCTTAATCTTCTCCACAATTCATTCTTTCTCCTCCCTTCCACGCGTCCTCTCCCCGCCCTCAGTGGGACTTGTTTTGTCTTTACGCTGGGATCAGAGTAAGAAATGGAGTCTAGGCCAGGCACGGTGGCTCACACCTCTAGTCCCAGCACTTTGTGAGGCAGAGGTGGGCAGATTGCTTGAGCTCAGGAGTTTGAGACCAGCCTGGGCAACATGATGAAGTCCTGTATCTACAAAAAAAACACAAAAATTAGGTGTGATGGCATACACCTGTGGTCCCAGCTGCTCAGGAAGCTGAGGTTAGAGGTTTGCTTGAGCCCAGGTTGTTGAAGCTGCAGTGAGCCATGATCGTGTCACTGCACTCCAGCCTGAGCAACATAGCGAGACCCTGTCTCAAAAAAAAAAAAAAAAAGGAATGGAGTCTAATGGGCCTCTACTGATTATATGGCAGAGGTCCCCTCTATTGGCATAATTTTCTTCATTAGATGTTAAGTTGGGACAGGGGGAAAAGGAGGACCAGTGGCCTGAGTCCTTGGACAAGTCACCAAATGTCTCTGAGACTCAGCATTCTCCTGGTAAGTTGTGATGTGGCTCTTTTATAAGCAATATGGTTTTCTCAATCAACTGCTACGGGGATGTGTTAGCCCATTCTTGCAGCACTATAAAGAAATACCTGAGATTGGGTAATTTATAAAGAAAAGAAGTTTAAATGGCTCATCGTTCTGCAGGCTTTATAGGAAGCACAGTGCTGGCATCTATCTAGTCAGTTTCTAAGGAGGCCTCAGGAAGCTTACAACCATGGTGGAAGGCAAAGGGGTAGCAGGCACGTCACATGGCAA